TGATGATAATGATGATGATGATGATGATGATGATGATGATGATGATGATGATGATGATGATGGTGATGATGGTTTAGTACCTGGTCCGTGTGGATCCCACTGTCGAAACCGAAGGACATCATACAATCATTGATCGGTCCGCTACTTCGACAACAGAACCAATACGAACTGCTCAACACTACTGCCGCAGATATCGTATTTACAATTCCGCTTGAAGCGAAAATCAACTCCCATTCATTGACGCATTTCCTAAAAGGACTACATACTACACTTCTCGGAAGAAGAAGAAAAAGAAGCCAAACTAACGGAGCGTTCACGCGGGGAACCACAAACTCTGTACAGGGGAGGGAAGACCCACTGAAGTGGGTGAAAGTCCTCGAAATTGTGTCAGGAGAAGCTTGAAGGAAAAGGTCTCCAACTGTAACAGCAACAGGAACACGATTCAGCCAAAAAAACGGGACGTCATGAAGTAAATTCACACCAGGGCTACTGCAGACAACAGGAATCTTGGTGGATCACAGACCACTTGAGGAAAACAGGTTCAAGATCACAAGAAAAGACCGACAGGAATAAAAAGAACAAAATGGTTTTCTGGAATTCGATAGATAACTGGACAAAACCGCTTACATTGTTTACTTGTGTGTGAACCAACAGGAATAATGACCAGAACATAGGTAGCTCGGATGCACTACTTGGTTGTTGGTCTGATCGCCGAGTTTGACAGTTAGATTGCACATGTTTCTTCCATGATTGAGGAGATTTAGTCAGTCTGAATTTGATGGCTAGAGGTGGGAAGTAATTCGATAGAATTTTGGCGGTTGAAAACACGGCGGTTGGTTACCACTGGGACGTGTTTCGATCAGTATGTTTTACGATATCCATATGAAATTATTTTAAATCTTGCTTACTTTTTACTAACCCTGCTTTTAGGCAACTCTGATCTGAGCGGAGACGAATTGATCTCATAAATGTCTGGGGTGGCATCCGCCCTTACTCTTTTAGGCAACTCTGATCTGAGCGGAGACAAATCGATCTCAGAAATGTCTGAGATGGCATCCACACATAAGCACAGAAAGGCTGCCACATCTGTACCAATCGGGACCTATCAATCAGCTCTGCGGAAGGTGTTGGTACATCACTTCTAACCCTAATCGGCCACATGTGCAGTTGTGCTCTGAGGTACCAGCGTCTTCTTGAAGACGGTCGCGAGCCAAGATTTGCTAAGAACTGTCTGCATTGTCTCCGTGTAACTTATCCCAGAGCCACTGTAGATACCATCAGCGAAGTGGTTCACCTTGACATCTGGCTCTCGTTCTTCGACACTTCCCACTATTTTCGTCTCATTACACGTCGATTCCTGTCGTGATCGACGACCTCTAATTCCTTCATACCCACCTCCACTTTTCACTAAGGCCTTCGGGAAGCTCATCGCGCAGGTGAAACGTCTACGTCGTGGAGCAAAACCAAACATCTACTTTGTGCTAACCGCCAACTTCAGGCATCCAACTTCTACAGCTCGACTCTTTTGTTTTCACATCATCCTACTTCAGGCGATTGACTAAAGTAACCTGCTGATAAATCGTTACCCTCCACATGACATCCGCTATACTGACTTCCATTACCATTCTGACTTTGTATAAATCAATCACAGACCATCTTTTTCGAGGGGCATTCGTCCACACCTTGCAGTCCGCACAGACAGTCAACCTGCTGGAAATGCATCATGCCTCATCTAGTTGTACTAAGCCACACACCTCTGACAAAGTTCATGATACTCGTAGCTCCTGCCTAAAAGGTCAGTTAAGGTGTTGAATACTGAATGCTCCGTTCCTTACGCGACACATTTCAAAAGTACATAGTTATGACGACATTTCCGTGGCCAGTCCTCGTCCAAGCACTCATTTCCCGATGAAATGGTCCGTTTGGGAGATGTACGAGACCTCCTACATGGATATCTGAGGACAGCAATCTCAGCAGTGGAACAAAGCAAGAAACATCATTGAAAACAACTCAATCTGGCAACACAAACCGTTCGGATCGAACGATACTCAACAACGAGAGGAAATGATCGGGCACCAAGTATTTCCAGCTTGCATCGCTGACATGTGAGCAAAGTTCTGCGAAACTAGTCGGGGAAATGGCACTGACCTAAACAACAGATTCCCGAGGAAAATATGTCTTCAACTGCACACGAAAAATCTGCGAGGTCCTAAAATGAAGGGCTCACCGGACGAGAGAGGTGGTTCGAAGGCGTAAACAGTCTTCTCGCAAGTAATCCAGTACAAATATTTTGTGGCGTATCTGCCTTTGTGATGCACGGAGTTGCATTCGCAAATTTTTTTGCAGATATCTAACCGTTCACCAGTGGTAAGGCGACCAACGTGAATCTGTGTAACTGTTCACCGGTCATCCCAGATGCCTTGTTCAAAATACACGCAAATCACCCCTAGTATCGGCACGTGGGACGGTACATGGGACTGCAGTAAGGTCAGACACATCATGGATTGAAAAATTTGCAACCATAGAACTCATCTTCTAACAGAAAAGATGCTTTCAACAAAAGAACGCTTCTGGCCAGTCCTGAGGTTACCGTCTTTCTTCGTTAGGGTTGCCACAAGCATGAAAAGACATCATATCGTTCTTTGGTCAGTGTCTTTACGAGTAACTTTCAAGGAGGGCTACAAGACCACCGCTTTGTTCGAATTGGTTGAAACCTCAGTACGTAGGGCTACAAGTCCTTCTAAGGGGGTGCGGGAATACCTCGTCAGAAAAACCCTTCAAACAGACCGTTTTCATGACTCACCCACCAAAACTTCTACCGACAATGCAATGCCAAGCCGGCTTAAACTTCTCGTCAAATCGTTCTCGCACGTAAGCTCCAACCTCCCAGTCTTCCTTATGACGATCAAGCGCTTCAGTGGCCGCCTTCAGTGCGAAGTCCCGCATCTCGTCAGGCATGTCCACCTTTTTGATATCGGCCTGATTCACATCGTTACGCATCATCTTTTCGGATGCCTTGGATACTTTCACCTGGGTAAGCCGAGCCAACTTGGTTTTAAGTAGCTGCACATACCACAGTGAGTGTGTGTGCGTGCGCGCGTGCGGGTGTGCATCACCTAAGCCTTGTAAATCATCTTGATAATTGGCTTGCAGGATGGCTGTACAGACACACCCGGTTGTCTTGCAACTAGTGATAGATAATATGAGCAGACTACCGGTGGCTATTGATAAACCAGTTGCACACATTTATGCTACTTAAATAAAGGGTTAGTATTCGTAATGTACCACGAATATCTCGAATATCGTAGCAAGTGAAACATGAGGTGGCCTGGTGCAGCACATTCAGTTGTCTGGAGACATCACAAACGAGAGATTCAGCTGGGTCAGCTACATGTAGAAATTGGAATGCGCGCCCAGGTCCGGTTAAAACAAAATCCCAACAAGCGTCATCAGGTAGGACGCAATACAAAAATAAGGCGTCGGGAGGTCGAGTTGACGCGGTGTAAGCTGCTCTTGTCCACCGTCTGAAGGGCCTGACTTTCCCATTTGAGCAGACACTCAAAATTGCGAGCGAAGATGGATAGGCAACAAAATCGCGATACCAGTGACTAGAGGATAAGCAGGGAGCAAAGAAACAGACGTAAGGAGAGCTACTCATGAGTAGGCAAACAAACAGGAAAAATTGCCACCCATTACCGTCGGTTCACTAGAGGCGTGCACATAAATTCCAACTGGTTTCATCATCAAACTTGCTTGTTCCAAGGAGCTTTCTGACGCAAAAGCCCGGAAGAATTAGGCCGAATCATGGGGATTTGTTAGGTGGATGGAATATCCTGACGTTTCAGTTCCAAGTTGTCAGAATCATCAACACTTCAGGTGCTCTACTGTGTGACTACTCCCACGCTATGGGAAGCTTGAAACAATATAGGTCAAGCGTTCAATGATGTGTTTTCAGAGCCTTCAATGTGCACATCGTCAGGACCAATTGCTCTTCCCGATTCTTTCTAGTCCCGCACAAACTAGACTAGTCAGACCATCAAGGCGTTAAAATCGACTCAGGTGTTCACCGACTTCGCTGACAATTTTCATTCGGCACGCACTACATCCTATTGCATGCTTAAAAAAGTGCAAATCACCATCGGTATTGGTCCGTTGGAAAAATCTGGACACTTCAAGCCAGGCGACGTTCTGCCCTAGTTACCCGTGAAAGCCGGCAGACTTCTCACTCAAATTTGGGGATGCTTTGTCCTCTAATTCCACTGTGAATTTCTTCAAACAAGGTCAACCTTCAACAGCCATTCTGGATGATTCTGTAGCGGAACAGCTAGGGACGGACGACCGTTTGCCTCAGTTGATCAGCACAGACTGGGGAGTTGCCATTGTGTCAAGTCATTTGTCATACTCGTTCTTCATAGTACATTCGAAGGATTCTGCGTACTGATGTGATGACTGAGCTTAGTTTTCCAACTGCCAGATTGGTATCCAAAATTCTGAGGGGCCACAGTGGAGTCCTTTCTCTCTTGTACTTTTACGTCAGCAACGAGCCAAGGCGTCCACATCGTCCACGTAGCGCTTTTCGCCACCAGCAAAACATCGCTTCGTTCTAATCAGGACTGCACACGGAATTAGCCGCTCCAGACGCTAATCGGCCAAGAGGTGCTTCGTATGTTCCAAACTTGTGTAACTTTCGAGAACTTGGTGGAAGTGCCTGATCCACAAGTTCGCATTGAGGGGTTCGCCCTCGATTCGAGATACTGGCTAGTAGGTTAGTTACTGACCTCAGAGGATGCCGCTTCCATTTAGGTGAAGTCATTCTACCATTCTACCCGGTGGACTGACCCTAAGTTGCTCGACAACTAGAGTACAAATACTAGATACAAATAATAGATACATGGCAAAGGTAGATAGATAGATAGATAGATAGATAGATAGATAGA